AGTGCTCATTCGTCGGCGCGGTTTAGAACTCGCGGTTTTGTCACCGGAGTTTAGTCGGGCGTGGTTTTGTCGGGCGCCCTTTTGTCGGTGAACCAGGTGGGCTGGGCAAGCGGCCAGCCGGGGCTGCGCCAGCCAGAGGTCATATTTACCAGTTCTCCAAGCTACTCAAAATTTCTACTAACAGTTTGCCCAAAGCGGTCCAAACTGACTGAATGCCACCTCCATTTGTGAGTACTATAATAGGATCATATCATCACCATAGAGCAAGGTGTTACAATATCTATTTAGGGTTGTTGGCATGTGCATCCTAAGGTCTTTCATTAATCCTGGCAAATCATTGATGTATAAATTAGTAAGGGGGCTAAAAATGAACCTTACCTTACCTCTTTGCTTGTGTGAATCCTGTTAGGGCCCCATTAAACCCATACCACACTAAGAAAGTAAAAAAAAAAAAAAATCCCATGATTGTGCGGCACAGCTGATTGTCACACTGCTGATCATTGGAACTTTAAAAAAGCATTTTTTACTACCGGTTCAGGCGAACTGGCCCAAACCGATAGCATTTTATCCCTGGCCTGCTGCTAGTGCTACTGCGCAATCCTCCCATGAGCCCCCCATGAGGGAAAAGAGGGGAAAAGCAAAGCAGTTGGCCCAGGAAGCTGCCAGCTTTGGAGAAGTGGCTCAAGAAGCAGAAGCCCCGTGCCCAGACAGAGTAGGGCAAAAGTCATGCTGCCAGCTGTGCAGTTTGTTCCATTGCCCCTCAGATGTGGATCTCAGCCAGGGAGGTTGAGGGCAGAGCTGTGTGCAGTGCCCTCAAAACCTTTCCCACCTCTCACTGGGTTGACATGCAGCTCCTTGCCTTTGCTCTTGCCCCCCACCCCACTTGCCGAGCCCTCGCTGCTCCCTCCCACCTGGTCCTCTGGAATGCTATTGAGTCTGTGACAGTCATAAATTCATACCCACCATGAATCTGTTACAAGTAGTTGAGAGCCCACTACATATGAGCAATTGCCAAGTAAATCTGGATTTGATCCTGGGGCAATTTCTATATTACTGTCTATTTCATAAAATAATCTACTCCCTTAAGAAGAACCAAAGCATTTCGAGACTGCAACAAGGCCACCCTATAAGCATCAAGAAAATGTCGAGATCACTGAGCTCCCAGCCAAAGAAGAGTCCGAGCATTCAAAGAAAACGAGATTGCACAGTAAAGGTGACGATGCTAAAGCTGTCACATGTTGTTGTGAATAATTAATTTATTACCCAGGGATGAAATGGCATCAATTTGACAACATAATGTGTGACGGAAAGACCAGGTCCACACGTAAAGGTCCAATTAAATTAATTTATTGCTAAACAGTCTATCCACAGAATCTTCTCAACCAACAATTAGCAATTAGCTTGGAGTTAGACAATAGACAACAGAATTCAAGGCAGGTTGGACTTACAGCTTGAGCAGGCTACTCTGGCACTGCATAAGAGGGAACGTACGTATCTTATTCAGGGACACTTGCATACGTGTTCCTTTTATAAAGCAGCAAATGTTAACATTCCACAGGTCAGCAGCCACTTGAGGACATTAACCAGTGTTGCGTTCCTGGCACAGATGTGTCCCAAGGATTTATTTGCTTATCTTTTTATGTTACTTGTGTTCAACACTTGTCCCAAAGGATCAGATTAGAGGAATTGGAAGGCAAATATAATTAACAAATCATGTGCTATTCTAGACATTGTCTCTCAAGTCTACATTGGAATTTTTGAAATAAAAATGTCAAAGCTATTCTGCATTATCACCTATTACTTTATCTTCTAGTTTCCATCACTGATTTTGTGGTGGAATCTCCATAGATCCGCTTTAATCCATTCTTTATATAAAGAGAACACGTGCAAACCAAAGTGGTAGACCAATTTTAGATGTACTTTTCAAAATTCTTCATCCAATTTTGCTGAGAAAGAAAATCAATGTTAAATTTACTTAGATGACTAAGATGCCACAAAATGATTAGCAGGCTGTTCACTTCTCCAACCCATCAGGCTCTAAAAGGTAGAGGTGAAAAGAGCCAAGACAAGTTATGCCAGCAAAGACTGCCGTTACACCAGGGCTGGGTTCCTGCCGGTTCTAACCTCTTCTATAAAGAGGTTCCACAAATCTACNTGGGGGGCAATATGCTGACTCTGTAAACCGCTTAGAGAGGGCTGAAAGCCCTATGAAACGGTATATAAGTCTAACTGCTATTGCTATTCATGACAGGTTCTTCGGTCAATATATTAGCAACAACCTAATATATAGTGATAAACAATGGGCTGCATTCTAAATCAGTTTGGTTATTTGTGTAGGGTGTGTTAAAATATTCATTTAAAAATACATATTTTATTTTGATTGAAATGTTTAGTTGACACTTTCCTAATGAATTAGAGTTCTTTGCAATCTGTTTTTGGAACACTTGAGTCCTTAAGTTTTTAGGGTAAATGTTTAGAAAGACTCAAGTAAGTAAGGATATACACTTAATGTAATAAAATATGAGTGCATTACTGATTTTTTTCCCCTTCCCTTCTTACATGTATGTACCAGTTTCTAAACCTGAAAGAAGATATTCACTTACAGCTATTGTGATATTTGTGGCAACTTGCATTGCTGCTGGTGGATGGTATATATTTCGGCATTCATCAATTCACGTTTCGGAAATCGATTATAAAGTTCTACAAGCTTTCAAAAACCAAATGAAAGAGCTCAGGAACACCTACCCAAGTCAAGACACAATAGTGTGGAACAGAATCCAAAGTACTTTTGAGAAACATCTAAATTCTTCTCACCCTCATTTGGAACCAGCTATCTTATTACTCACCGCTTCAAAAGAAGCTGAAGATGTGTTGAAGTGTTTAAGCAACCAGATTGCGGATGCTTTCTCATCTTCTCAAGGTGCACTTACAATTAAAATTGATGGGGCCAGCACAAGAGCTGAAGATAGCGATGTTGTCAAACTTACTGTCGATGAGAAGCTGAGCTCTGGTTTTGAGAATGGTAACAAAGCAGCGGTAGTCCATCGCTTTGACTCATTACCCGCAGGTTCCACCCTGATTTTCTACAAGTACTGTGACCATGAAAATGCAGCATTTAAAGATGTGGCTTTACTATTGACCGTTCTTCTGGATGGGGAGTCCCTGAATAAGAGCTTTTCCTTGTTGGAAGTTGAGGAGAGAGTGAAAGATTTCCTCTGGGCTAAATTTACTAACACGGACGCACCAAAGTCTTATAATTACATGGATACAGATAAGTTGAGTGGTTTGTGGAGTCGCATAGCCCACCTAGTCTTACCTATATGGCCAGAAAATTTCCTCCCTCAGGAGAAATGCTTGCAGATGAAATAGCCTAAGGTAAGGGAGCAAGAAGAAAATACAACACAACACAAATGCAACACAACATGTATAAGTCTGTTAATGTTTATATAATGAGAAAATTGCAATTTACTAATCAGAATTACTGAAGTTATAGGTCATTCAATATCAATAAAAGTTCTCCTTTATAAGGAAGCTGGCAATTTATAAGAACTTTTAGACCTTTAACACAATTCTAGTGATTTATTGGAAATCAAGATTCTATACTAAGGGGAAAATATCTTATTGCTCGGGCCCACCCAACTTTGTGTAATATGATTTTTTTAAAGTATCAAAATCCTTTTGGAAAGTACTGTGAATGTGGGCAACAAGGTAAGGAATTGTAGTACTAGATTCTATCTTTCTGCTTGAAGTTGAATGGACTGCAAAGTTGAAGTTGAGACCAGGTGTTTTTATAGCCTAAGAATAATTCTGTCTTACTCCATTTCCCAAAACTGCATTTTTTTAAAAAACTTGTAACTGCCTGTGTCAATTCAATGATACACTGTTTTTCTCCTTTGAAAATGGCCTGTAGCTATGTAATGCAGTATGTATGTTTTCAAATAATTATAATTGCATCAATCCAAAAACACAAGCCTCTTCAGTTTGTTCAGTTAGACTATCACTATTAGACAATCAAAGACTTCCTTCAGATTTATGAGAAATTTATGAGATTAATGAGAAACAGCAAAAGGAAATACAATCAGGATCAAGAAAGAAAAATAGATGCATTATATCTTAGCAATTATAAAGGAAATCAAATATGATATACTTTATAAACACTTTATTACAATTACACCCCGTTTATCTAACACTGGTAAAAGTGAGGGCTCCTTGGTGTTAACATCAGTGCTACTGATGATGTTACCTAGTTAAGATAATGAAACATCTGCAAGAAAACAAGGAAGCTCAGAGAGCACCAAGGACCCCTCCTTTCAACCCTGAGATACAATAATTTTCCTTTATTAGTGCTGATAAAAGTAATACAGGTAGTGCTCAACTTTACTTACTGTTCAAAGTTACAATGGCACTGAAGAAAGGGACTTAAGATTGTTTTTCACGTATGACTGTTGCAGCATCCCCATGGTCACCTGATCAAATTTGGAATGCTTGGCAACCGACTCATACTAATGACAGTTGCAGTGTCCTGTGGTCATGTGATCACCCTTTGTAACCTTCTCGTAAGCAAAGTCAATGGGAAAGCCAGATTCCCTACTGCTACTAATTTAATTACTAACGTGAGTCACTTAACAAATGTGGAAAGAAAAGGCATAACATGGGACAAAATTCAGTTAGCAACATAAATTTGGGACTCCATTGTGGTCAAATGTTAAGACCTACCTGTATAATAAAACCATACATTAAAATACATGTTCTCTAAAAAATAACTGAACAAAGTATTAATAATAATAAGGATCTTTAGTGTTTTAACCAGTTTTTCCTTATCATTGCAGCAGTGCAAAAATTTGCTACTGCACCAGTAGTAAATATTGAAGATGGTTTGCAAAGAAATTATTTGATTTCCCTAGAAATCTCTCTATTAGGGGGAGAATGTACATTGATGTCCCTGTAAAATGTGCCTAGCACATGTGATATATCAACTTCCTCGTCACATGTACATATTCGCTCAGCTATTGGGGCTGTATGCAAAGCAGAGAGGAAAACATGGTTTGACAAGGATCTAACTTAGTCTTAAAACAGTCCAGCAATCCTCATGGCATGTACTGTATAGTCAAAACTGGATCATTTTTTTTCCTGCTAAACTGGTAGCAACATTGGGATTTTCTACAATTGCTGCTATAAATAGCAAGTATTAATACAAAATATAGATTGCAATAACCTTCTTTGTGAAGCTACTTTTTCATAGAGTTGGGCGATCAAGAAATTTAATAATACAACTATTTTAGATATTAACACTGTACATTGTGGAGAATATAGGCTTGAGTCACTTCATGAAAAGTTCTTTAGTCAATTCAAAGACTTTTTAATTTTTTTTAGCAAAAACCTAATAATATAGTGATAAATAATGGGCTACATATTTAATCAGTCTGGTTATTTATGTACATGTGCTAAAATCTTCATTAAAAATTACTATATTTTGACTGAAAATGTTTCGTTGTAATAAAGTTGACAATTTCCTAATGAGAGTTCTTTGCCGTCTGTTTTTTAGAATATTTAAGTACTTAGGATAAATGTTTAGAAAGACTCCAAGTAAATAAAGCTATACACTTAATATAATGAAATGTGAGTGCGTTACTGAAGTTTGTTTCTTCCTTTCTTACAGCAAGTGTGATATCTGCCAATTCTAACATCCAATTACTTCACTGCCAGTTTGGGCAGATAGATCTGTGTTCTGTTGAATGGCTCACAGATGCTCCAAACTGGAAGCGGATAGTCTTGTCCTTTGAGCAATCTACATTAAACCCACTAACATGATCATTCCCAAGGTCGCTGCTTCTTCACTCCCAATCTTAAGAGAGCAAGAGTGTGTGAGTCTGTCAGCCTTGCTTGAGAAGATTTCTCAAGACTTCAGAAGCTGGCCTCATTAACGCTTTTGGCTCTTCAGCATGAGAAGAATAAGACAATATAGTGTTAAAGCTAGAAAATCTGAAGAAAACCTTGGTCGCAATCACCACAAACCAAGCCACAAATAAGCATAGACCTTGTATCAATGGTACAGAGTCAAATGTAGCATGATCTAACATCTCTGCCCAGCACCTCTGGAGGAGACCCCCCCCTCCCACAAGGCAAGTGGTGTTTAAAGGGGTCAATGTCCTCCATTCCGAAAAAGACCCCCCCCCCCCCCAGGCGAGCGTTTTTAAATGGGTGCAAACTCCCCCACTCCAGACAAAGCCCCCCCCCCCCCCAGGAGCTGGTGTAGAAC